AAAAAAAAAAAAAAAAAAAAATATTGTAAATTAATTATTACGGTAAGTAGCATTAGTAGTATCGTGTAAAATTTATTAGGCTCCAAAGCATCTAGTGGCCATTAGGTACCGGAAGTGAGTCTATGAAAAGGCTACATACATTTTGGGAGGAAGAGGAAACAGGAATGGAAATGCACTTACTACTATAATTATCTACAACCCCCCCCCCCCCCCCCNTGTAGTGTCTGTAATATGTAATGTTATTTGGGACTGCTTGGAAAATACGTACACTAAAGGTTGAGAGAACATCAGTTTCGTATTATTATTAATTAATACATCTTTTTGCAATCCTCTCCTAGTTGCATGGAGTAAGTACCCTTATTATTTTTAGTCAGTGTTTTTTTAATTACCCTCTCATTTATCTATTACCTCTCATTATCTCTTTCCAGGTGTTTACTACAGTGACCAATGCAACTCAACTCAGCTAGACCATGGAGTCCTTGTTGTTGGTTATGGAACTACTGAAGATGATGAAGACTACTGGATTGTTAAGAACTCATGGGGCCCAAAATGGGGCGCTAAGGGCTACATCCTCATGGCTCGTAACCGTGATAACAACTGTGGTATCGCCACTGCCGCTAGCTATCCGCTAGTTTAATCATATCTCCTGTGAGATGATCCTTTAAGTTAAGAATTATACTCTGTTACGTAAGATTTTGATTGAAATAAGTGCTTTAAGTAGCAGAGGAAAGTGGTGGCAAAAAGTGAAAAGAGGGACAATTTGCATCCAAAAGCTTGAATCAATTTAAGTCAATTAGTGCATTATTGCGTTAGAATCTTCGTGTTAACGATTTTGTTTCATCGTAAGTTGCAGCTTATCTCATACCAGTAAATGTTATATTTGTTTTACAAACTTGTTTGACAGCTGAACTCAGAAAAATGTTTCTTAATATCAAAATGCCTTCCATTTCATTACTTTAAGGAGAAAAAAACTATTTCTATTTCTAGAAAATTCTCTGAAATATTCTTTCAACAAGAAAGAGTAACTGCCAAAATTAGACACACAAATACTTTGAATTGTATTGAATTGTACGAACTAATATTCGTTTTTGAGTTCAGTCATGAAATATTTTTTTATTTTATTATTATTATTATTACAGCCACAATGAAATGTTCAAAAAAACTTAATTTCGGGCAGATCACAAATCTTATTCACAAAATTTAATATCTTCATCAGTCCCATCTGTTTGTAAATCTAAAAAAGCAGCAATAATGCTTTTGTAAATAGGCCTCCTTGAAAGCTCAAAGAAATCAATTACAATTGTGGATGCAAGTCATTAGTTTAGTCCCGATTACTTGTAATCAGGTATATTTAGATGCATTTCAATGTTTGATTAACTGTCAATTTCTGTGATTATCAAGCATCTTATCCTCTGTCTGATATAAGATTAAATTTCCGCACCTACTTAAGACATTGTAAATAGCGTGCCATCTACAAATTTGAATTTCATTCAGCTTAGATTAATATAATACAGAACTTGAGTTATGCAGAGCATTGTTAGGGCTTGAATCGTACTGCATAATATCAATATTGCAAAACTGCAGTGCTTACCAAATTCTATATCGCTGGACCGGTTTTGCCCAAATTTTCTTTGTCTGCTTTTCTAGTATTATGGAAGTTTGTGGCTTGTAAGTCGTAAGTTGTATGATTATTCACTGTCTCTCTCATACTTTTACTTTTTCAACTCGCAGCTCTGTAGAGCAATGCTCAGTGTTGTGCCAATTTTTAACCCAAAAAATTGTTATTTTAAGAATTTTAATCATTTATGGAACCAGAATTCTATTATTTTGATAAGTGAAAATCAACTCTAAAGCTATAGAAAATGATCAAACAAATTTATTTCAATATTTATTTCTGCACGAAATATTATCAATGTAGAATTTTAGAATGCTTGCCTGTTAACTCATTACGGAATAGGCAGTGTTTGCCAAAAGAAAATCATTCAGTTGAATCAAAAGTTACTTTATTAATTTACATAACCCCAAATAAATAAAATAGTGAATAAATTAAATTGCAAAGCACTCGATTTTTTCTTGGAACAAATGAAGTTTTGAACTACTTAATTGAACCAACAATCATACTCATGTCATTTTTTTTCTCAATAATATATGCTTATTTTTACTCATTTTTTGTGTGATTAGTATTAAAATTTTCCCAAGAAAATGTGATATCTATAAGATTATTTTTTCAAACAATAAAGCCTTTCTTGTTTCCAAGCTGTTCTTTTCACTGCAGAATCACGTACTGTTTCACCTGCGTAGCAAATACCTTTGTTTCTAAATTAAAATTTTACGCCAAGATAACCCAGTTGAGAACTTAGCTTTTGTTTTTTTTTACAAAGCTTTTTTAGAAACTTTTAAGAATCAGAACATGCATCCTTTTATCAAATTGTAAAGCACTCAAATTTTTTTGGTGAAGGAACAAATTAATTTTGGAACTACTCAATTCAACCGACAATCATACTCATGTCATGTTTTCTTTGAATAATATAAGCCTAGTTTTACTTACTAACTTTTTGTGTGATTAGTATTAAAATTTTCCTAAGAAAATGTGATATCAATAAAATTATTTTTTCTAATAATAAAATAATTCTTGTTTCCAAGCTGTTCTTCTCACTTCAGAATCACATACTATCTTACCCACATAACGAATACATATACGTTTCTAAATTAAAATTTCACACGAAGATCGTCCATTTGAGAACAGAGCTTTTGTTCCTTAGTTGCTTTGCCAATCCTTTTTCGTCTGACACCAGTGACAATATTCCGATGATTGTCCCTTTCACCAAAAGGGAACCAACGCAAATTTAGTGTCGTGAAAATCATGCATCTTCACTGAGAAGAGAAATTAAAATTATGGAAGAATGGAAGATGATAAAAGGACGAAATTTAAGGGCCGAAAGGTTTCAATTTTATTAGAAGTTTATAATTTACAGAAAATAGTCACACGAAGAGATGCCAGAAGGGCCGAGAATGGCATATTTATGTAACAGACAAGGGTCAAAATAATTTTCTTTAATCATTAAAGAAACTTCGATAATAAGGCAGTCCACGCTTATATAGCCTCGCTAACGTCACCGGTGGTGAGGCAACAAGACCTCACGCGAATGTCTGGCTGTAATCAGAAGAGCTATTAGTTGCAAGTTTGGTTATTAGATTTATGTGTGATGGCTGGATGATAAAGTTATGTAAGAACTTCTGATGAAACTAAAAAGTGCTCAAATCCAGCCATCCTTCATGACCAGAAGAAAAATGTATGAAAAAGTGAAATTCAAGGAAAAGCAAGTTGAGATACTGACGGTACACGCGAAACGCTCGAAGGGGGGGGGGGGCACTCCCGATTTACAGTGTAATGCTTTAAAGATACGCGCAATGCGTTCGAACTTAATGGACCACTAGACAAGGTACGAATTTAAGCATTCTGATACATGTTTCTTAACCAGAATTTCACGCAGAACACGATTTGCGCAACGAAAATTACTGAAACCAACTCCTAACGGAGATATTAATATTTTTATTTCGCATTGGTTACGAGGAATTTGAACTGCCCGCTGACAAGAAACTCAAAGCTCTACGTGAGTCAAATCGCGCACTACAGCGGTTTCAGCAAGCTTCTCAATCGAACAATGTTCATTTCCCACCATGTATTGTTCAAGCTATAAGCAATTTGCTATAGCTGAGCCAAAACGTTGAGATTGAGGTTGCCAGATTTTTTTTATCGCACAGACGTTCATGATAATGTTTAGCGCGTGATGTGAATCACGTAGAGCATTGAGTTTTTATGAGCGGGTGGTTTCAATTCACGCACCAAGAATCATTCAATATCTTCGGAAGGGGTTGATTTCGGTAATTTTCGTTGCGCGCATCTTGTTTTACGTGAAATGTTGGTGGAGAGTGGAGACACATGTATCAGAATGCTGAAATTCGTATCTCGTCTGGTGGTCCATTAGATTGAAAAAATTCAACAGGGGTTAAATAGCCTAAATTTTTTGGGTCAAAATCGAAAGTTCTCCAATCGAGCTGAAACCAAGCTAGTCCGCTTGAAAATGACTTGCTGAGTCCGATTGTCCAACTTAGAAATCTCCACAGGTCCGATGGAGCGCACGAGCGGCGAAAAACGCACATTTCATGAACTTTCACCAGGTCATAAATACTTGTTACCGACCGGCTAGGGGCGGTCCAGCGGGTTCACGGAGTTTTTTCGACCAGAAAATCCGACTCGACGGCCGACGGGTCATTGTTAAGCGGACTAGCTTGGTTTCAGCTCGATCGGAGAACTTTCGATTTTGACCTTAAAAATTTAGCCATGCAAACCCTGTCGATTTTTCTCGATTTTGGACAGGGAAAAATAGAGTCACATCCTACGGAGCTCGAGGCGTAGAATCGATAGAGCAAATGGATTGCATTTTGCAAAAAGGAACCAGGAGCATTGCCATGTTGCTAGAATTGAGCGACTTCACCCTTTGCAATAAAACTACTGTAATCATGCAATAATATGAAATTTACATGGTAATTTTTGTCTCAAGTTTACAGTTTTTAGCGTGTGAAATAGAAAATGTTTATAGGTGGCCAGGTTTTTCTTCCAAGACAAAAGAAGTTGCACAATCTTAGCAACATTTCAATGCTCTTGGTTCCTTTTTGCAAAATGCAGTCCAAATGGTCCCGAGGCTCGGCGAGGCCTTTTGAGCCGAGAAACGGTCAAAAACGAGCGTTTTTGACAGCTTTGTTCACGAAAGCCGCATTTTTCACCGCTCGGGCCGTCCAGTGGACTAATGGAGCTTTCTCGACCAAAAAATTGGACTCAACGAGTCATTTTGAAGCGGACTAGGTTACTTTCAGCTCGATTGGAGAACTTTCGATTTTGACCCTAAAAATTTCGGCTATTTGACCCCTGCCGAATTTTTCAATCTAATCAAGTTCGAACGCATTGCGCGTATCTTTAAAACATTACACTGTAAATCTGGAGTACCCCCCCCCCTTCCAGTGATTCGTGTGTGCCGTCAGTATCCCGCAATTAGCTTTTTCTTGAATTTCCATTTCATATATTTTTCCTTTGGTCATGATGGATGGCTGGATTTGCGCACTTTTCAGTTTCATTAGCAATTCTTATGTAGCTTTATCATCCAGCTATCACACATGAATCTACTGACCGAACTTGCAACTATAATACCTAGCTCTTCTGATTACAGCCAGCTAATCGTGTGTAGTCTTGTTGCCGAAATGGGAGGCACGATAGCGATTAAACAAAAAAAAAAAGGGGGGGGGGTGGGCGGCCAAAATGTCAAAGCCGGATAATCCTGAGCGATTCAACTGACGATAAGCCAAGATAATATTGACGATGTTCAGAAACGAAAAAATTGGGATTGATGGATGCGTTCTTTGGAATGTATCGGGTGATCAAGTGAAAGGAACGAATACTTGGTTTATTTGATGAAAGTTTTTATTGATTCATCGAAGTCAACAGTTTTCAAATCCTCGGATGAATTGAATTACATAAGTACAAAACAAAGATCTTATACTTAACATCTGACATATTTTATTTCGGTGTTCTATTTTATTAATTGTACATTGATTGAACACTGTCAGACAGAGAGGCATGAACGCATTGTAGCACCATTGTGAGGGAGCTCATTTCTTTTAAGCCCTCCTTCCCCACCTTCGATGACCCTCTTCACATGAACAAACTCTTCATCAAGGTAAATGTGATTACCAGGCAGGCGGGCGTATTGTCCTGGGAATATACGCAATATCGTCTCCTTTACATTTTCTTTCAGTATTTCACAAATTCTCTCAACAGCATTGCTTGATGGAAGAGCCAACTCGTCAAAACTGCCAAAAAAGTCATCACATAGATTCATTTAAACATTTAAATAAATACCAATAGTACAGATTGCAAATGACACAGTAGAATCACTGTTACCGCATCTGTGGGTGAGAGTTGTGTATGTTGCCTATCTACTAATTGAAGGGGCACCTTTTATCTTTTATCGCAATGATATTGAAATAACTTGCAATTTCTCGTTGCGTTGCAAATTGCCTCTCTCTGATACCTACGTAGAGCTCATTGAGCTCATTTTATCAATAGTTTAAAAACTCCTTTTTATAAGTGACTTATGTAAAAATGTTAAATTTTCATGGTAAAAAATTGCAATTTCATAGCCTTAAATCGCAGTTTTATTTCAATATTTTCATTGCACTGTGCTACTTGGGATATGACTTCACATTCAAGTTCTGTTTCCATTTCAATTTTCCTGCAAATGGCTTAGTATGATTTTTTGCTATACTTCCGCTTACACCAGAGCGGCCTAGGAAATCAGATTTGATTCAATAATGTACGAAAAGTTTGTTCATACGTGAATGGGACTTGCCTCATCCATCGCTTATATATTGGGCGAATTTAAGACGAGAGAAACTACGTTATTGCACGCAAACCTTATATTAAGCACATACTGTTGTGCTATGGTAAAACTTAAATTAGGCTCCAAAGCATCTAGTGGCCATTAACTACCGGAAGTGAGTCTGAACATAATATTTTGAGGTGTCAAGAAAAGGCTACATACATTTTGGGAGGAAGAGGAAACAGGAGTGGAAATGCACTCACTATAATTATCTATTCCTCCCCCCCCCCCCCCCCCNCGGTAGTGTCTGTAATATGTAATGTTATTTGGGATTGTTTGGAAAATACGTACACTAAAGGTTGAGAGAACATCAGTTTCGTATTATTATTAATTAATACATCTTTTTGCAATCCTCTCCCAGTTGCATGGAGTAAGTACCCTTGTTATTTCTAGTCAGTGTTATTTTAATTACCCTCTCATTTATCCGTCTTTCCAGGTGTTTACTACAGTGACCAATGCAACTCGACTCAGCTAGACCATGGAGTCCTTGTTGTTGGTTATGGAACTACTGAAGATGATGAAGACTACTGGATTGTTAAGAACTCGTGGGGCCCAAAATGGGGCGCTAAGGGCTACATCCTCATGGCTCGTAACCGTGATAACAACTGTGGTATTGCCACTGCCGCGAGCTATCCGCTGGTTTAATCATATCACCTGTGAAATGATCCTTCAAGGTGATTCGATGGACGCCATATTTTGTGTCAGAACGGCATGCGATATATCGCATCAATCGGTTCCATTTTTTCAGCTACTCGTCAATTTCCTCCAATTTTGAGATCGCAATTCTGTTGTCAGGAGACTAAAGCACTCGCTTACCAA